GGAAGAGGAAGAGGAAGAGGAAGAAGAAGAAGAAGAAGAAGAAGAAGAAGAAGAAGAAGAAGAAGAAGAAGAAGAAGAAGAAGAAATAATTACGATATTAATGTACATTGAAAGGCATTTGGAAAATAGAGTAAGGATGGATGGATGGATGGATGGATGGATGGATGGATGGATGGATGGATGGACGGACAGATATGGAAAAAAAATGGGTGAATGGCTAACAATTCTCTAATAACCAGCAAATCTAAAGTATTATATGGTATCTTGAAAAGGTCAGTGGCACCTATGAGAAACCTATCCCCCAAACAAATGTCCAACTATCCTCCTGAGCCCCCTAAAATTTAAAACTGCATGTGTCTTGTCTATTTACCATCTAAGATCAGCAATACAAGCGGTCAAAATCAAACTGTTAAAACAAAAAAAGAGAAAAGATTGTCAGGTTATGTTTGATGTTAACTACTGCTTTGTTTTCACTGCTGCCACAATCAACTTGGCTACCATGTAGGTAGCTCCACGATCCGAGGTTGAAAGTAAAAAGTGGGTATAAACATTGTCTGTTCTCCCAGGCTCATTTAATAGAAGGGGGATTATGATATCCTTGCAAAGATCCTGATATAAAAACAGAAAAGGACATGTTCGATTGTATCAATTTCCCCAAAATCACAAGAGCAAATATGCAGAGACAGAGGAACATTCATAATCCTCCATCGTTTAGACTTAAGCAATGTTTCCTTTTTTGTTGCTTCAGTAATGGATCTCTCTCTGTCAAGGTCATCCTCTTTACTTCCTACATTGTTCCTGGCCCTGAAAAATCCTTTCCTCAGGCTAAGGAAAGTAAGTGTATGGAGATACTGTATCTTGCACTTCCCAGAAGCCTATGTCTTCATATATGTCTTACTTACCGCATGAAAGCCAACAAGCTGTGAACCTGCCATTATGACAATTGCACTGAACAACTGCCACCAGAGTTTTGGGATCTGGACCAACTGAATTAGATTTAACTTCTTTTCTTCCCTCTCCGAGAGGTCCTCCTGTTGAAGGTCTTCCATTTCTTCTTCCACATCTCCAGACTCCTTTAGCTCCTTCAAGACTGAATGAAAAAAGAGGCAAAGTCTGAACGGGAAGGAAGAAAAAGAGAATGTCTTTCAGGTCCCACCCCCTTCTTTGTCCTCAAGACCAAGTTTGAAGAGAGATGTCCTAGGCCTCATTCATCAGCATGAGAAGAAACCTATACATTTTTAATACCATTTTTTTCAAATAAAATAAGAGAGATCATTCAGCTATCATTTTTAAGGAGAGAATGGAGGAACATGAAATGACCAGATCCATTGCCTACATTAGGATTATAGAGGACTCAGATGAATGGGATCGCCTTAATAAAATTGAAATATAAAGAAATGTGCAGCTGGTGGGAACCAGGCTGGTTGTAAAAAGCCTTATCTCAAAGCCTTGTCACAAACATCCCCATACATCAAGGCATCTGTCTTGAAGGAGGATGCGTTCTTCCTGACATTTGGCACCTTGAACTAATTTGTTTCTTCTTCTCTGTGACACTATTGTTTTCCTTGAAGGTAGTAGATAAGAAGAGGGGCAGAAAGTAACTTGAGATCTATTGCTTGCTAATGTATGCCTGCATCATCGCATGAATACAGTATATATGTGTATGCATTCTTTTTCTCTTCCCCTTCTTGTAGAAGTGTATAAATAACAGAGCATCCATTCTGCCTGTAGGGGAATGTCTCCCACTAACCCTCGCTGGGTCCCCTCCAGCACGCACTGTCTAATAAACACTGCAGTGAAGCCTGGATTATTTTGCACCTGGGTCCTGCGTTTTGATTCCGCAAACCCTTGGAATTGGCCTCAAGAGTGTTAGGTGCATTACACAGAATTGTTGTGACTGCATGTACTTCTATCCTGTGCTACACTCATATCTTTATTTCTTTTATCTCTATTTTCAAGGCATTAAATGACAAATTCATTGTGACGCGGGTCTCTCTTCCTGCACAAAAGGAGGAGTTTGGCATTTAAAAAAAAATTTTTTTCCTCCAATCACATTGCAGATTTATTTATTTATTTATTTATTTACTTACTTACTTATCATGTACATTTTTTTAGCTGCCCATCTTGCAATCAACTCTGGGCGATGAACAAGCATAAAGCCATACATAAAAACAATTGAAAAACATGAAGAAGAGCTTAAACGCCATAACCAAGCAAACACAAACTGGATTCCCTTAACATCCTAGACTTAAGGCCTGAAGAAAGTGCAGGTTTTTAAGCCTTCTAAAAGGCAAACAGGGTTGGGACCATCTAAACTTCTGGGGGGAGGCTGCCCCACAAGACAGACGCCATGACAAAGAACACCTCTTAGATCCCATAAGATAGCTTTGTTTCATAGAAGGGACCTGGAGCATGACACCCGGTGGGATCTAATGGGGTGGGCAGAAACCAAAGGATGCAGGTGATCCCTCAAATATCCTAGCCCTGTGCCATGTAGGGCTTTATAAGTGATAACCAGCATCTTGAATTGCATTCATAAACCTACTGGGCACAGCTCCCAAACCAGTGGTGTTACATAGGAATACCATGATGTGCCCAGAACTTCCTGTCCTAAGCAGAAACATCCCTTTTCTGTCTTCCATTGCCATCAAATCACAGTTCCCCAAATTCCTTTGGCAAGAACAATAGCCATTTCATCAGTTTAGATCCACATGTTTCACTAACTTAAAACACGCTCACACTTACAAAACTCAAGAGTTTAGGAAAGTAAAAGTACTGACCACTTTGCATGATATGGTGAAAAAAGATGGGAAAGTCTAGCCAGGGCAAAAATCTGGAGTTGTCTTTACATGTCCTCTTCTTTCTCTTCTGTAATCCTTTTTACTATCCACATGCATTCCATCTTAATGTAAGAGATCCAATTTCTTTGTAAACATATATGAATGCACATTGTTTATCTAAAGCAAATTGCTTACTGTCATATTGACACTGACACTAATCGGAAGGATGGCCTTATGTGATCAACAGTACTGAAACACCAACAATCTCCAAACAGCTGCTGAGAAAGGGCCTCATTTCTCTTTGTCCTCCAAGTTGACCCACTATGTTTGAAATCTACCTTGCAGGTCTTAATTCTGTTCAGTATGCTTTAGAATAATTTTACCTGTCCTTGCTGTCTCTTCATCTCCCTTTTGAATCAATAGGTATCTAGGACTTTCAGGTAGATAGGGCATTAGGAAGACCATAACCACTGGAATTATACCGTTCAGAATGATCAGAACATACCAGCCTGCACAAGAAGTTACAATAAGGACACCATTAACATTGAATGACCTGCAATCTGCTTTAAATCTTAGGTTGGGTTTTCCAAACTTACGCCTGTATACATTCATCTTTTTCAAATACAGGAAAGCATTTATGAAGTTTTTAATATGCTGCCTTCTGCTATGCCATTGAGTAAGGTAGTGGAACACTCTGAATATCAGAACAAAGCAGTATTTCAGAGTACTTGAGGTAAAAAATGTAGCCCATATCTGCAAGTCATTAAGCCAAAGACCTCTGTAACCCAGAAAGTTGCATTGGAGTTGGGAAAGAGATAAACCTGTCAGAATTGGAGACATCTTGGAGAATGAGGGAGTTCCAGAGTCCAAAGGAAAGAAACAAAACTTAGATGAATTAGAAATGATATACAAAACTGTAGAGTTATGGGTGCAAATCTTAGACATTGATATAGATACACAGGAGCAGAAGTTTAGCTTGAAGTCTCTGGCGATAAAAGAGAGGAAAAAGAAAGGGAATCATTAATGCATAACAGAGAATCATAAGCAATAAGGGAATAAGAGACAAGGCTTTAAAGGAGAAAGAAAGAATAGTTGCGAATAAAGAGAAAGAGAGAAAGCAACTGACTTTTGTTTCCTGCAGCCCTTTGCCACTTGGACTCCCACTCTGTGTAGCTAACAAGCCAGGAGAAACAGTTTTGGGGTGCAAAGGATCTGTTTGCATGGCCAGCCAGCATGGAGGATGAGGGATTCCCTTTCATCAACAAGGGAATCACCCAGTGATTTTAGCTGGGGGAGGATTGTGGTTTTGAGATCCAAGAGCAGAGTAGTAGACTGGATTCAGGAGGGAAGGCATTCAGCCCATGAAGAAGGGATCAAGGTCACAGAAAAATATTGAGAGAAAAACAGCTACTTTACACAGAGATCAGGGGATTTCTCAACAAAGGGAGGAGAGCTGGTTTGTTGAAGTATGAATGATCCCAGTGAGTTCAATAGGTAATGTTTAAAATTAAAATTTATTCTTGTACAGTAGCTGGGTAACACTGTTGATGCATCCATATGGTTATTGTTTCCCTAATGTAAATAGCAAAGAAAAGCTCTTAATAATTTAGTTATTTATTTTCTTGTTGGATCCTTGGAAGAAAGAGCAAAATTGCCGTTTAGAGTTCACCCTTTGTGGATGACTTGACAACAGTCTTGTTTAAAGAGAATTGGGGGAGGGGGGATTCTGTGGGGAGATCTCCTGGAGAACCAGTTTCTCACTCCCAGGACTTGCTCCTGTGTTAAAGCAGGAGCCACCCATCTTTTCTCAGGATCATGTGGTAGCCACAGAGGGCAGCCTTATGATTGCAGCTGCTTTAAGTGTTGCAGAAAAGTGCTCCATGAGTGCCTCTTGGGCTCTGAAGCACCATTTTACTTTGAAATCCAAAGTTCTGCACAGCCCGGCAAACGGGCTCCAATTTTTGAATGGGAGAAATAGAGTTAATGTCCATTTTCAATCATCCTTTATTTTGTGCAGAGAGACCCAAGATACATTGATTCTATGAATCTTTACTTGAAAGATACACTGAACCTTCCTGGTGTCTTCTTGCTTAAGATATTACCTCTCTCTACATTTTAAGGCAATCACTAAATCCTTTGAATCTCATTACAATTAGGAAGAAATTGCAGGTTGGGTCCTCTGATTTATTATTCCTGTATTTGTTTCTTCTGTTAGTTTTAATGTCGATGATCATATTGACATAAAGTAGTCATTTATGAAAACTCATACCTTTTGGGTTTCCTAGGATTTCTGGAAAGCTAAGTATCAGAGCAGTGAGGTTGCCCAGTTTTGCAAAGAAATCCGTTATTATGATAATGCGTCCCCTCATGCTTCTGGGAGAGATCTCACAGAGGTATACCAGTACAAGACAGAAGTTTGCACCTGGTGAGAATATAAATCAAAGGATAATTCACAGTATATATGTGACACAATCTGCAGAAGCAAATTAAGAGAGCATTAGAAACCCTGAAGAAAGAGTAATTGCTCTTCACCCAAAGACATTCTGCATGAAGTTTTCCAAGATATCATTCTGTCCCATACAATGTATATGACAGGCCATTGTCTGATTTATGTAGAGCAGTGTTTCTCAGCCTTGGCGACTTTAAGATGTGTGG